GGCCTAGCGATTGGCTTGCTAGCCGTATAAGAGGCTTGACCGGTTTCTGCCCAAGTTGGAGATCTCCGGGGAGGACCTCATTTAGGGGGACTCCACATCCATCTCATGGAGAACTCTAAGGGCTGTGGAGCCTAATAAACCCCGCATGTGCCTTAGAGGAGGATACAGGGGCCTGATCAACCTCTAGCCTCTCCCCGTCGCCGCCTGATCCCTTGACGTACCCTTCCCTGCGCGCTTTCGGTCCACGGAGCCTAGCAAACTTCGTGTGTGTGTGTGTATCCAGAGCTCTTTCTGGGTTATTCGAGTTTTGTAACTGCAACTTAAGCGAAGCTTTTCCTGCCTGCACCGCGACCATCTACGGTGTAAGTAAAATAATCTTTAATCAACTGCTACGAGTCCGTGCCTAATTCTAGTCCGCTGTCCTGCATTCCCCGACCCACGTGCCAGGGCTGCTGGCCACAGCCCGCCGCGCGCCCCCGAAGGCCTCGAACCGCTCCCGGCCCGCACAAAACCCATATCTTCTCTTTTCCAGGGGAGTTCCTTTATCATCTGGTCAAAGTCATGCTCACTCTTGTTCTTAGTTGCTCTGGCCCAGAGAATCTTTAATTCTTTGAAACAGATAAGAACAGCTGCTACAGCAAAGATGTAGCTTATAGTCTAATAGTTAGTCTGTCCTAATGGGAAGTGGAAGATGTAGGTTTAAATTCCCTTTGGCAAAGGAGGGAATTAAGTCCAGGTCTCTTGCAACTTGATTGAGTTTCCCAGTCACTCCATTATTACACAAGTGGGGAGGAGAGGGCAGTAGCCACCCTCATGTCTTCTTCAACATCTGTGTTTAAAAAATAGTGGCACCTGAAGGAAAAGGCTTGTGTGTCTGCTTTTAGGTGTATGCTCCAAGCTGTGAATTTTGAGTGGAGTCTGGTGCCTAAGATCCAGTAAGGAATGGGATTTAAAAGATACCTGCTGATATTTACAGAACCTAGTCTGAGGTGCCTAACTTTCCCTAGGTCTTATAAATGGAAACTAGACATCTAATTCAGTGTTATGGGTTCTGTTACAGGAGCCAGTTGCATCTGAAAGTTAGGGGTTGAAACATTCTTTGTTGCAACACCTAATTTTTTTTTGGATGTGGGTGCAAGTCAGCATCTCTCTGGTCTGTGGATGTAATACCCCAGTGAATTAAGTATAATGCAAAGACAAACATTCCCCCTTTAAGTAGTAGGGTCCTCTAAGAGATCAGCCTTTAGTGATGTAGCTCACATGGGAGATGTGAAGAGGTGTTTTTCAGTGAGCATGCAATAATCTTTTAGCATATGACTTCTATGTAGCTTCCTTTTTGGCCTCATTTTGTCTTAAATTTGATCCTCTTGATTTATAGGCTGACTGCGTGGGCTGCTGTCAAAATGTAAAAAGTTAAAGCTTTGCCTTGGGAGGACTATTTCTTTATTCAGCACACTTGTTTGTGTTGCCTTCCTATCCAAACTGTTTTAGAAAGCTGGATTAATGAGCTCACCAGTTGGCTGAAGCTGGTAGCCTGGAAGTGACTTATTGGAGACTAGACAATATAAATGGCATTTTTTTAAGTGTGATGAATGGAACTTGGGATATAGACAAGCATGCTTTTTAGCTAGTTTATAAGAGGACTGCAGGATTCTGTAGTGATAAAGGTAAGCTAAATTACCCTGACTTGGAGCATGAATGCATCAGGGTTAAAGTTGAATTTATTTCAATACTCTTGTATTGCTATAGAATCAAAAAGAGTTCTAGCTGCATTGTAATAGCTTGTATCAGTAGTCCTTGATACCAGTAGAGTTATGTCTGTTCTCCTAGGCCCCTGGCAGATGTTACATTTACTGTGCACTGCATGTGAGTATTGCATGACAAACTGTAATATGCCTACTAGCCACGCATTAAAATTATCATGGGAGATTTCTGTGCCACAAAGTTGCTGTTCACTGAGTAACTTCTTTGTGGCTGGGGATAAACTGGTGTAACATTTGGCATGTTATGAGTTGTGTGATACTTGTATATAACACTTCACAAATGCAGTGTGTGCCAGAAACCAAAGTTTCTCCTGTTTCCTCTAGGCATTATGTACAAGAGTCTCATTTTAAAAAAATACCACTTGATAGAGATTGATGTGAGAACTTCTGTTTCTGAAACATAAAGAAGTCTGAATCTTGGATTGGTGTTCAGGTTTTACCTTGAACATCTTACTAAGCTGGACCACCTGGATGAAAAGCATAGAGCAGCTGTCCTGTGTAGGATAGACAAAGTAGTGGAAGACAAAGAGCCAGTGCCTTGGAGACTAATGTCTTACTCATTTAAGATGGTCTTTGCTGACCAAAAAAAAAAAGGTGGGGCTTGGAGAGAGGGCACTAGGAGTGGTATTTTAATGACAGGATAACTGACAGGCACTGTTAGTTACTCATGGTGTAAAAACAGTGGAGATAAGACTTTATCACAGCTTATGGTTGAGGAAACATAATGTTGACTTCACTTACTATTGGCTCCACCTAGCTACTTGTTGCTCAACATTACAAATATATCTCTACTTAAGGCTTAACAGCAAGAGCTGCTTTTTAGTGGAAGACATTGTTATCTTTATAAAACTCAAAATCGTTCCTGTTCTATCTGCTTGTTATGTATAACTTTTTTCAGAGTTTTAGTTGAGGTCCAACTTCATTAAAGCCAATGCATAAGTCTCTAACTTCACTTGGGAGAAAACTGGTTATACTATATTATAATTTCTTGAAAGTACAAATATTCTTTATGCTTGTCAAGAATTAGATAAAGGAATCTGGAATTGAAATTTCCATGCTGTTTCTACTTGGCGTGACTAGAAATAGGCCAGCCTAGGCAAGCATAAATTTTTTTTTTAATTTCTGTAGAGGAAACCAGACAAAGTTGGAGAAGGATGAAAGCATCCTAGGTGTACACTGATTTTTCACACAGACTAATTGTTTGGGAAACCTTTTCATATCTTACCCATGCTTTGTATCAAAACAGGCTGTCTGATATTGGACTGTTGCCTGGACTAGCAGTCTAATGCTGGATGGTTCTGCATAAATAGCCTTAATCTGTTGCCATGCATATTTCAGGTCCGTAGAAAGCAACAGATCACTGCCCTTTTTATTTCTTGCTTTGCCAAAGCTTCATGCGGGAAGAATAATTCTTGTTTATTTGGGGAAAAGCCCCAAAGCAGAAGAAACAAAGAATGGGCATCTGCTTCTCCAGGCTTATAAAGGGTCAAGGGAGCATTTATGCTAAATTCAGGATCTGTAGGTCAGGGGAGGCATGTAGGAAACAACTGCTTAATGAAGAACACTCCTTTTAGAAGCAGGAGAAAATGCCATAAGGAAAACAAAACTGAGAGCAATGTGACTTCTAGCATTACCCCTTGCTACATGCTTTTTTAGAGGTACTGCTGTAGCTGATGTGGCTGATGGTAATGTGGCTTGGTGGGCTAGCTATGCTGTTCTCAGGCTGGAGCGTGTTTCTTTGTAAAATTGAATTTGGTATCCCCATGGACAGGGTAGAATATTGGACAGTTTTCCTTGGGAAACCCCTGAAATCTCCCTTTTCTCTAATGCTGTAGAAGTTTCCTAAGTTTGTTGTGCCACTTCTGTGGGTCTTTGCTGGAGGAGGAGGCTTTAAATTCTTTATTTGGGTAGGATAGCTGGTTTATTTTTGTCCAAGTTGTATTATGTGAACAATGTGTTTAGTCAAGCTTAATACAAAGGTATGTGAGTGTACATTTGCTTTTTTTAAATAAAGGAAAATATCCACCATGTCTCCACCTGTGCTGGTTTACCCAGTGAATAATATTGCCCATCAGAAGGCATATACCCATTTATCACTGTTCTTTGTATTGTAAAGCTTGCTGTGCCCATTGGACTGGGCATAGAGAGAAAAATTGTTTTAAATATTGCTGCTGTTTTGAAAAGTCCTATGGCGTTAATAGTGGACCTGAGTGTTTGAAACCTTTTCAGTGGATAGATATTGGATCAAGAGTCAGAAGACCCTGGGCTTGGAGGAGTTGAGGGGATGCTTTAGTTAGGGTTTACAGTGCATCAGTTGTATTAAATTAGCAATACAGACAAATGCCGGGAGTGGTAAGTTTGGTTCATGTTCAGCGTGTTGCACCTTGTATCATATTTAAGATATGTGTTTACTGCAGAGTTAACTCAAAATATCTACACTTGAGTTACTGCTCTTCAGTTAGCCTACCTTGAATGAGTGTACACTATAAAATAACATGCAAGTGGTTGTATGCAGACAAGTGCTTTGCATACATGCAGGCAGCCTGACTCTGCTCACTGGACACTGCTCTGAAAGGGATGGAGTCCTGGGCTCTGCCCCCAATCCTGTTTCCTCATGTGTAAATGGACAAAAGGAACATTTGCATTTGGATAGTTGGAGAAACTTTCTAGTTACGTGGGTGGTTAAGTACTGGGACAGATTTCCTATGGAGGCTGTGGAATCTCCATCACTAAGATTTTAAGTACAGGTTAGACAAACTTTTGTCTGGGATAATTTAGGGATATTCCTGCTTTGAGAGTGAAACTGGACTGGATGAACTTCTGAAGGACATTCCAGCCCTGTGGTGCTATGACTTCTGGGAACATTACACAGGGTTCTTAGTACTGCAGAAAGCTTGGCCTCATCCAATTATTTCCCAGTGAATTGGGGGCAAAATGGCATTCCTTTAAGAGGATGACTGGCAGTAATTCATGTGAAATTTGTATACAGTGACACATTTTTTGCATGTGGATACATATTTTGCATACACGTTTAAATCTCACACGTTGTGGTAAATATGCATAGTAATTTAACATTTACCTCTATTCAAAGTCTGTGTGTGGGAAAGTTTTTCCCCAGTATTATGTAATTACTCATTTTTATGTGTCTTTTTGATAGAGCATTACTGAGTCTTCCAAACCCTGGTACCAGATGGTAGGCTTAATAATGATCCTTTAACCTAATGACTTGTATTGTTGTTTGACAAATTCTGTGTACATACATTTTGTGCGCTTACCTAAGTAAATGAGAAGTATATATGCCCATCTGTCTTCCCTGTAGTTACTTTTAAAACCTTCTGTTTTCAATTCCAGTAAGAAGGCTTTATATTGGAATAGGGTAGTGTAAATAAAGAAAACTCTCATTAAGTCAATTTATTGATCTTTTTTTTTTTCCTGGTGCAACCCATATTCTGTCCATCTCATCTTTACTAACGCCCAGATCCTCAAAGGGAGTCTTACTAAAGTCTAGTCCTCTAAACTGGACTAGAGTCTTTGGAGCAGCAGCAGTTCTATTTGTATAGCATTGGTCACTTTGCTGATGTTAACCAAAGAAAAATATTCTAACATAGGTTGTATGTTTATTTGGTAGCTTTGTTATGGTGGTGGACATCAAACAGGGAAAGACATCTCTTATAACCAATACAGTTTTCTTTCTTTTTTAGAATTTCATTTGATTAATGGATCAATATTACCTACAGCTTTCCTTCTGTAGAGCTGAAATGTTTTTTATTTTTTAATTTTCCCAGTCACATCGTCCTGATGCTAGCAGATGATATGGCATGTAACTCCCGGAACCCTAAGCCAGCAACTGTATTTAGCCACAAAAACATGGAGCTAAATGTCTACGGAGATGATGTGGAAGTGGATTACAGAAGCTATGAGGTCACAATGCTTCATTTGACAAACCAAAAATTTGTCTGTAATGTTGGTTTAAGATCTGATCTAAGTCTCAATTCTTCTTATGGACCGTTGCATTAGCCTCTTATTAATTATCAATATACGTGTGTATATAAAAATGATCAATTGATTGCTAATGAAAAAATTAAGTTTCATTCTAACCCTATGCATCTTTCTAAATTCTAAAACTATTATTAAAACACTAGTTTATTTTAAAGGATGTGTTCTTCTACTATAGAAGGATCTTCTGCTATATATTAAGGATCTTTTATATGTTAATAATATGAAAATATTATTAAATTGCCATCCACAGTCTTTAAGCAAAATGACAAGCTCATTATCCAGTCTTGCAAAAACATACGTGTGTGTTCAAGAACATGGTCAATTCTATTTAATTCAGTGGAGTTATTCTCCTGCTTTAATTAATCATGGGTATGTGTGCAATCAGGGTCTAATGTAAATGTTTATTCTTTTAAAAATTTAAAGCATACATTTCTGCAAGTAACCATTTACTACTTACTTTAAAATAACTGCTGAAGGGAAATATATGCTACATTTCACTCCATTCTTATTTTCAGAAAATACTTCCTGAGGCAATTTTTTCTCTCTCTCTTTGTTTCCTAGCATGTCTTTGCTTAGACTGCAGTTCTTGGAATTTTAAGTAGTGGTACAAAATAAAATGATTGATAAAGCAAAAATATTCCCATATAATGTATGTTAGAAAACCGCACCTAATTTAATGACTAGAGTTTACTCTAGATCGTGTTGAATTCTGAGTTATTTTAAATATGGTTATGAGTGTATAAAGCAGAAGTGCAAAGATTAGGTTCTTTATGTTATCATGATAGTTGTCATGAGTCTGAATTTGTTGCTAGCATTTTTGAGCTTTTTAAAATCTGCATTCAGAACAAGCAGTTCTGATGATTTATGGAATGGTTTATGATCGCTGTTCAGATGGACCACATCTGATCATTTAAAAGCCTGTGCCACAGGAATCTTTTTCTTGCCTCTGTTGTAGAGGATATTGAAGCTTTGTCATATTTATTAATAAGTTTTCCATGGTAACATACTAATATGGGTGATTTTATGAATATGTAAGTAGTTTTATGGAGCAAAGCTGTACAATGTGACAGGTGTTCAAATCACTGAATATGTGTTTAGAGGATTAGAAAGGCTATATGTGTGTTTTATTAACTTTGAAAACAGTTATATCAAGTAACAGGTTCATCTTAATAGGGTAATAGTGCAATAAAACCTTGAACAGGAAAAATATGGTAATGCAAATTATGCCATTTTTTGCACTTTATTAGCTGTAACATGTATTTTTGGGGGCTATTATTTCATGGAACCTCCATGTAGGAGAGTTACATATATCCTTGATGATAGTTAGAAATTATTTCCTTTTTATGTTTGTAGGTTACTGTCGAGAACTTCTTGCGTGTATTAACAGGGAGAATCCCACCAAGCACACCTCGATCCAAGCGTCTTCTTTCTGATGACAAGAGCAATATCCTAATGTATATGACTGGTAATAACAGGTTTACATATGTGGTTTCTGATTTTGTTGCTCAATAATAGAGTATGATTGGTAAGAATGAAATTTCATCAGGTGGCAAAATAGATCTGAGAACTCAGTAAAGCAAAAATTTTCAGCATTTTATGGGCAGTATCTATACACTTAATCAGCTGATCCCAGTCTTAGACTATTGGTTCTCAACCTTTTTTGTACCCATTTGTAAACATCGGTGGCCAGTCCTGACCCAGTAAACAGTTAAAGTAGAAAACACCTCCTGGCCCTGCTGGTGCCCCTCACACCTGACCCATTGCTCCCCACCCCCAGGCCCCAGGCCCCCAGTGTGTGCGGCAAGGGGTAGGTGTGTGGGATGGGGGGGAGGGTGTGGGGTTTGGTGGGGAACATATGCCCCCTCAGATGTGTCCTCCCACAGCAGGCATGCAGCTGCAGCCTGGCTGGACTGGCATGGGTAGGAGTCACGTTCACGCCACAGGTGGGACTCGGCACGGGAGGGCAGGGTAGAGCAGTGAGACTCATTGCTGCCACTGCTGCCAGAACCCCTGTACCAGCCACGCTGTCAGCAGCATGGGAGTAACAGACAAGGTGGGGGCAGGGGGGGATGCGCTGCCCTCACCTGGTGCCAGCTGCTTGTGTGACAGGCCATGGCTCTACCCCACCACCATGGCCTAGCTGCCACTGCTGCTCCCCTCAGACCATGGCTCTAGCCTGGAGAGGAGGCGGGGTGGTGGGCAGTGTTGCCTATGCCTCCCTGCCCCCCTGACATGTTGTCTGTTCCCCCCCACCCCATAGCCTTGCTTGCGGGGAGCTGTGGGAGCTGCTCTTCATGCTGCCTGGGAGCCACATGCATGTGTGTGCGTGCACGTGGCGCCCTCTGCCTGATCACCCTCCTCCCACTCCCCCCAGCCCCAAGCAGCCCCTTGCAGGCTGGAACTCTACCAGGCTGCAAACATTTTTTTCCTTTAAAGCAGAATCCATTTTTAAAGTTTGTTTGCAACCCTTTTATATATTCTTGCAACCCACTTTTGGTTAGACTATAAATATACCGTCCTCTTTTTTTTAGTATTTTGTCTTTTCTCAGAAAGTCAATAGCTTGTAATGTTTTATGTATTGTAGACTATTCTTTAACCTGTATGGTTATTTAGCTTATGATTTTTCAACTAGGTCATGGCGGAAATGGTTTCTTGAAATTTCAGGATTCTGAAGAAATTACTAATGTAGAACTTGCTGATGCCTTTGAACAGATGTGGCAGAAAAGAAGGTAAAAAAAAAGTGCACATTAAATAGCAGAGATTAAATTCTATATTTAATGAATGAACATAATATTTGGCATGGTAACTTTCTCTTGTCTGCTCAATTCTTGTTGACACAGCACAACCTGATAGTGAAGGATAGTAATGCCGTTTGTTTTCATTCTTTCTTTATAATTGTGATTTAAAATGCAAACATTTTTCAAACTGTTTTAGTAAATAGGTATTCATAAAGTTGCAACTCTCCCTTCCCCTGGAGGAAAAAATATTAGTCACTTAAATGAGTTACTTGAATCAACAATTGCACGCACTTACTGTTAAATACAAAGCGCTCAAACTGTGCAGTCACTTGGATCTCTCCCAAATATTATGGTAACTACACAGTAAAATGTATGAATGAAATCACAATCTGGGGGTGAATGAACATGAACCTGTTTTATTTCTTTCAGGTACAATGAATTGCTGTTCATTATTGATACTTGTCAAGGAGCATCCATGTATGAACGATTTTATTCTCCTAATATAATGGCCTTGGCTAGTAGCCAAGTAGGAGAAGATTCACTTTCAGTAAGTATCTGTTTTGATATTTTCAGTGTTCAAGGGATCTAGGATGATGAGGCCTATTTGGCTTTCTGAAAATCTCCCTCAACTGCTTAACAACAGGAAACCATGCTCAAAACCATCACTTCCATGAGTCACTAACATCTGTACTTTTCTCTTGTTCTGTTGTGTTGCCCTAAAGAATTAGGATGACATTAACCAAGCTAATCTAAGCACTGAGCTAGTATGTTTAATGCCTTTTTTTAAAAGCCAAACTGCACACTTCTCTTCAGCCTGCCTGACCAGGTCTCCATTTCTAGCTGAGTTAATTGGGGACCACCTGTGGTATGAGTCTGGAGCAAGTCTTGAAGATCTCTTGCCTCTGGCACCATAGTGAAAACTACTTGACCGCTCTGTCAGAATGCCCCAGAGCCAGACTAATGCACATCACTCTCCTACTTGACAGTGAATCTTCCATTTCAAATGTAAAAAAATGAATTAACACAATTAAGAAGTATCTTTGCAAGTATGTAACAATAGAAAATGAAAAGTATGACTCATTGTACAGAATGTACCACGTTTGGGGACAGATGTTAGTCACCTTCCTTTCACCAGTGGTTGGCATTAGCTGCATCTTTTTGGACAGGGGCTGAGAGAGGACGTGTCTCAAAAGAATATTTTATTCAATAACTTGGTTAATGCTCAAAGGCGGTGAATACCCACAACCCGAGTAACATTAGTCAGGCCTGAAATATAAAGGGATAGTGGGGGAGAATGATCCCTTTACATTTTGGTGGTGGTGCCCACGGTCAAGATGGAGATCTCCAGTGGCAGGTCAGGAAGTCTTTGAGGGCAGACACAGGCAGAAGGTCTGAGGGAATGCTGGTGTGATATGTAAGGGGAACATGCTGTATAAAGCTTTCCTGCTGCCAGTGGAAGGTGAAATGTGCACTGTTCACTTTCCCTGCAGTACTTTGTGCCAGACCCTAAGAGGGGTGAGGGATCAGGGCTCTGATCATGTGCCTACCATAGCTGGTCACCCCCCCCCAGCCCCAGGAGCCAAGTGGTGCTCACAGACGAGCAGTCTTTCCTCCTCATCTCTCGATTCAAGAATACCACTGGCAGCATGCAAATGTAATTTGGTATTTGTGCATTAAGGAAAAAGAGGTTCCTTGTTCCCTGGCAAACACAGGACTAACCAGAGTATAATTTCAAAAGTTGAATATAATGCACAGTATACAGATTCATGTGCAAGTATATCCTTTCATAGCTAGTAGTTTTCCTTGTATGCTGTTGATAATTTGCTGAAGCATAAAAGGAGAACACTGTTTACTTGAATCAAATAATTTAAGATGACCCTCCAATAATTAGATTCTAGATATGGAAATGTATAAATTTGTAATAATTTTTCTTGTCTAGGATCTAATTTTAGGAGGGTTGTCTTAAGTTCGTGTTGTCCCCCCCGAAGCAGGACAAAGAACAGGAGCGGGGAAGGCAGAGTGGGGGTTAAGTGGCCTGACTCTTCTTGTTGTCACCTGGCCTTCCCCCCCAGTGCCTGCGCACCCCACACTTGCCATTGTGATGCTTGTACCCTTTTCCCCCCACTCTACCTTGCATTCCTTCCACTTGTCCCCCCTCCCATTTCCTTTCCCGTGCTTGTACCCCCTGTTGCCTGCCCCTTCCCTTGTTGTCTGCATCCCTAGCCACTTGTCTCCTCCCCACCCCGGCTGCTGCTTACCTTTCCCTGCAGCTCAGGCTCATGCTGGGGCTTTGCTCTAGCCAGGGGCAGGAAATATAGAGCAGGTGCTGCCTCTGGCACCAGCCCAGCCACGCAGCAGCTTCAGCCCTGGCCCCAGAGCTGCTGGGCATGCTCTGTACTGGAATGGGGCCCCAGCAGGAGCTGGAGCTGTGAGACGAGGTAAGCAGCAGTGGGGAGCAGAGGCTGCAGGGAGGGGAGGGGGCTGCAGCTGTGGCTCCAACTCTGACTCTGGGCTGCAGCGTTTGCTGCAGGAGCCTCCAACTCCCCCCACAACTTATACTTGAATCTAAGACGAGGACCTTTCCCCCCCGTGTTGATTGGGGGGGAAAAACCTTTTTGTAGTTTTGAGTAAATACAGTATACAGGCTTTACACTTACTGATGCTATTTTACTGTGTTTCCATTGTAAAATATTGTTTTCCCTTTACACTGTTCAGTGAGTATGTGCATTTGTTTTTAAGCATCAGCCAGATCTTGGGATCGGAGTTCACCTTATGGACAGATACACATTTTATGTCTTGGAGTTTCTGGAAGAAATTCACCCAGCTAGCCAGACAAATATGAATGACTTAGTAAGTAGCATATTGTATATTTTTTTAATTTGCTAACTGCTGTGTTCTTTAAACCAATCCATTTTGTCCATGGGGTCTCTTCAATGTTCTTTTTCTTACCCTACACCTCAAAGAATTTGTTTGGTAAAATCACTGTAATTTGTCCCACAGTGTGAAGATGTTCCTTTGATTAGGGAAAAATTAAGTAAGTATAACACAGTTGTTACACTGAAAAAATGTTAATTTGTGAAAAATGGATGTACTTGCAAGCTATCTGGATTCAGGACCTGGCACAGTGGTTGCTTTGCAGGTGTGGAAAAAGTCATTGGCATTTCCTTGGCAGAAATGTTGGCAGAATATGTTGAAATGCTAATCCTTCGTTCAGAATCAGATGGACAGACCTCTACAGAGCCACACTGATTGCCTTCCGTATCTGCATAGGTAGAGTGTCAGCCTATAAAAATTCAATTCCATGTTTTAGGCTTTATATGAAAAAAAAAGCTGGATAAAATATAATGAAAATGCTTTTTGACCTGCTAGGTTTGTACCCCCTTGAGACACTGTACATCAAAAAGTAATCGGATTTTAGCAGCTCTTTCTACTGCACAGGTCGGTACTCCTCATGGTAATGCATTATACTTTGGTGTCTTGTAGCTGTAAATTCTGACATGCTGTGTCAGTGACTTAAGAGCCAGCAGTGACCATGCATTAAATCTCCAATTCATTTCAGTAAAAGGAGCAGCTGTTCAAAAGTTTTATGCCAATATCCGTCGATGGGAGTTAGTGTCAGCTTTGCTGTTAGATGAGATGTAGTAGATTTTGCATTAAATAGCCCACGCTGACAGATTTTGTGTTCGTACAGAGTTGATTCAGTGACTAACATTCAGACGTCTTTAATTCTAAAGGAATGAAATGCCATCAACTGCATGATCCTGAGTTGTGGACCATTTTAAAACAAAACTTGTGTTGCAATAAGTACATAATTTTAAAATGATAGTTTAAATGAATTTGTTTGGATCATATAATCTGCAGTCTAGAGCAGGGGTTGGCAACCTGCAGCCCATCTGCCAGATCTAGCCCATGGAGCTCTTGAATCTGGCTTGTATGTGGGGCTTCAGCATCATTCAGTGGTGGGCACTATCCCCTGTGCCATGATGGAGAGAAGTGACAGTGGCAGCCAGGTCCTAGAGCCAGTTTGCCTCTGATTGGATCTGGGTTTTTCTGGTTGAGAGCCTGAAAAGTTTCCTAGACTGCTGGTCTAGGAAATTAATTTTATAAGCCAAAGCTTATAAAAGAAATAGCATTTGAAACATGCATAACCACATGGGAAATTATATGAATTGGTTCAGTTGGATATATTAATCAAGAGCTTGCAGACAACCTGGCAAATCTATATATAAATTCTCCTTCCTTTTCCTTCTTTTAATGGCTTGTTAAAATTGAAAGCCCTAAATAAGAAACCTATGTAGTTTTCCTGTTGAATCATAGTTGCATGACTTTTTTGATGGCCAAATTCAAACTAATATTCAGTCCGCTAGGGTCTCATCCATTCTAAATCTAAGGTTTTTCAGTGCACTAAGATAGTGTGATATATCCAATTATTACTTCAGAGATAAGTGTACTTTCATAATGCACAGTACCTCGCTGTTAGAGAAAAACAAACTGGCATGATTTGCACTCAGAATGTTATATTAACTTGAGATATAACATGCTGGAGTTTCAGTGAACTTTGCTTCCAGTAGCTGAAGTCACATTCCCCCCAGAGCTTTATCTTCAAGGTTCCCTAAGCTGTACAGCAGCCCTGGTAAAATAATCAATTCATATACTCTGTGAGCAGTTAAATGCTCAGCAAGAGAAACATACTGTTAGTAACCTGTTGCATGTGTATTGTCCCTTTCTTTAAAAAAGCAAACACTTAGTGCCTAGGCCTGATTTTTATTTTTATGATTATAGAAAACTATTTTAGTACATGTTAAATAGATTAAAAGGGGTTGTTAGATCTCAAAAAAGATTGTAAATAGTAGGGGATCATCATTCAAAGCTACATTTTTTTTGAGATCACTCAGTAATATGTTCTTGGCCCAGTTCTAATCAATATTTTTATTTAGGGTATAGAACAAAGCATAAAGTCATTGTTGAATCATAAAATGTGCTCATAACACTGAAACTGTTGGAGGCACAAATAATGACAGGTCCATTAGATCTATATATATCCGAGTGAAGTGGATTGCCTGGGAAGGTGGAAGTGCTTGAATTTAATTTTAATACAGTCAAATGCAAGGATTTTTGGTAAAGTTTACAGGATGGCAACAATAGAATGTAACAATAGAAAATCGTAACACTGAAAAGATCTAGGGGCCATAGCGTATAACCTACTGAATGTGAGCTTCCTAGTGGAGTGCTATGGTTACAAGAGCAAATATGGTTCTGTGATGCCTGTAATAAGGAAAGTATCAAGTAGAACTATCAAGGTGGTATTTATGAGATAACGAACGGAATTCTGTCTAGATTTGATGTTCACATTTCAGAAAGGGTGCTGAAAAATTGGAAAAGGTTTCGAAAATATTTACAAGAGTAATATGATGCACAGGAAATATGTTTTCAAGTAAAAAGCTTTAGGAAGCTCAGTGTATTTAGATTATTACAGAAAAGATAAAAAGATGACTTGAACACAGTCTGTAAATATCAATTTGGGGAGAAGGAATCCAATGATATAAAATTTTAATGTAGGACGTCCAATGGTTAGAAGCTGAGGCTAGATAAATTTCAGCTAGCCGTAAGGTTCAGTTACCTTTACTGTTAAGAGTGTAATAATTAGAATGATTTCCAGAAGTATACGTTGAATTCTCCGCCGTGTGAAGCCTTTAAGTTAAAGTTGAATGTCTTTCTAAAAGGCACTATAGTTCAAGGATTGGGTATTTAATGGATCAAAAATACTTGGTCATTTGACTAGCCAAATTTTGTCAAATAATTGTCAAGTATTTTAGGGATTAATTTATTAGTATGGTAAAGAGATACTTTAGTCTTCAGTTGGTTAGATACTTATGCTCCTTTACAGAAAAACAAATTAATTAATTATGAAACATTACATTCTAAAAAACGGTAATGAATTACTATAACAAACATTGTTAGGCAAATGTAAATGTGAATGATATTCCAGACTGAACAGTTCTTTCTCTTGGTTTTTATCTTGGAACCCCAGGGTGAGTCTAAAGAGTTATTAAAGAAAGAAAGAGAGAGAAAACTCATACCAATTATTTAAACAAAAATCGGCTTCCTTTGCTGCTTGTTTTGGTTCCGCTCTCAGCATAGAGTAGTTCCTGCGACCCTAAGTGGTGTAATGAGTAGGGGGGATAGGGACAGGAGGCTGAAAGAGTTCAGGAGAGAGAAGGGCAAGGCACCTGCTCCTAAATGGTGGAAACACCATGTATCTGGATCATGAAGGCAGTTTTCCTTAAGCGTTCCTGGGGATAACTGTTCTTCTGGAGTGGTTTAGTACCCGCCGAGGTGTTAGGGCTTAAAGCCCACTTTATGGAAATGGGAGGCTCCTCCCTAGCTTGCTCCTGTGACCATATGGCTGAAGGCAGGCGAAGCTTGGGGGCATCTGAGCCCAAGGCTGTAGGCCTAGGGCCTGCACATGGGATGCCCGCCAGGAGACTTTGGAAGTATCTGAGGCCCCTGATGGGGGTGGAGGATGTTTGCCGGTTGTGGAGTCACTTGTGGTTCTGGACTGACTCATGGATTTGGACTTGTTTTGGCTGGTTTGCCTTGGAACAGGAAACATTTATAACAAAAAAAAAAAAGTGTATAAAATGGATCCTGACTCCTGCTGGGTTCGGGATGCAAGGAACCCTCGCTCTTGCTTTTTCTAACAGATGAAACTAGAAATGGTATACTGTTTAGTTATCTCATGTCTTGGTGTTGTTATTTGATGGGGAGGCTGCCCCTAGAGGTCAAATGGGGTTTTGGGTGACAGGCTGAGGTCACCAGGGCCCTGCCTATGTTTACTGTCGCTATACCTGGTTAGTTCTGGATCTACTGTCCAGGACCACAGGCTTCCACCGCAGCGGGATGTGCCCTGCTTCAAGGCTGTCAGCCTCAGGTCAGGCTGTCCCCTCTGTCACAGTTGGCTCCTTTCTGTTGAGTTTACAGACAGTCTGTCTCCTCTCTTCTGTCACAGCTGGCTTTGCTCACAGTTCATCTCAGTCTCTAGTCTCCCACGTCTCGTGCACACTTAGGGTTTGGAACACCTCTCAGGTGCCTCCTTTTTGTGGCCTCCTCCAACCCTTAGCCACCGCCTGATCCATTGGGTGGAAGACTACCTGTTTGGGGTGTCAGCCCCCCCCCCCCCCCCCCCCAGGTATACCCAGCAATGGGTTAGCTTCACCCTGGGCCGATCTCATTAAGTCTGCAGAAAAAAAGAAAGTGTGCGTTGCAACTGATCTGCCACCTTGCTGCAGCACTGTTGGCCCCCTCTGTCTGATTACTGTCTGGCTCCGCTTGCTTTGGTCCTGCCTCCTGTTCCCTCTTCATCTTCTTTGTGCAGGAGTTAGCTTCCTCCTGTGCCTCCTTCTCTTTGGTCTGGGGCCAGGCTCCTTAGTGAGAGCATCTGATCACCTGACTCTTGAATTTCCATCTTGGGTTCTCTGGAGCCGCTCTCACCTGGGCTGAGCAGCTTTCTGCCTCCTGTCCTGGCGAGCCCCGGTGACACCCATGTCCTGCAGAGGCAGCAAAGGAAGGTACATGTGTGTCATGGAAGGGCCAGCGGAGGCCTGTAGGTATGTGTGGCAGAGGATGGGACGGGACAGGATGGGGACAAAGTCACCCAAAGTGGGGAGTTGAGATAGAGCTAGGAAAAAGGGAGGGGTGCATCGGGTGCAGTAGCAAAGGAAAGCCCAAGTGCCCACATCCCTTTAGTAATGGGATAGGGGCCCCATTACAAGCATACTTCTATATTTTAATAGAAAAAATAAATATAAAATGAGCAGCCTCCTGATTATTTTGAGTCTGAATGTGAGGAT